TTAATAATAGGTATGAGATCATATAATTGTGAATGTATATATGAAATTGATAAAATAAAATAAAATTTTAAAAAAAATAAGATGCAAGATGGGGACTGCCTCGGAGCGAGAAATAATAAATAAGATACTGACGTGCGCAGAGATGGACAGACTGACTCCAGAGCTCAAGGACAAGGGTGAGACGGAATATCACGAAATTTGGGACAAATGGTACCCATGGTTAGAAAGGACGGGAAACAGAAAAAAAAACACCAGATAAGGTTGAAGGTTGAAGGTTTATTGCATTTATATGCCGCCCTATTCCCAGAGGGACTCAGGGTGGCTAACAAACCCAGAAGGGGGGGGTAGTACAAACAAGGTAACACAACAAACAAGATACAGAGAAAAATTTAAAAACAACCAACAGTCACACAATTCGGGGGGGGGGGGGAGGGAACCCATCAACCCCAGGCCTGCCGGCACAGCCAGGTTTTACAGAAAGCCTGGAGGGAGGTGAGGGTCCGAATCTCCGCGGGGAGTTCGTTCCAGAGGGCCGGAGCAGCCACAGAGAATTGGAAAATAGGGTATCAAGAACGTGTGATAGCCAGGAATTGGATATGTATTTGTATGGTTAGTAATTCTATAAAAGAAAGGATCAACGGACAGGTAATCTGACTAACTACACACACCTGTGTAATGGATATAAAATGTACCGTATTTTTCGGAGTATGAGACACACCTTTTCCCCCCCTGAAAATCCTGGGTGCGTCTTATACACTGAATACAGCATTTTTTTTGCCTCCCAAAACCCCACCCCCTTCACCAAAAGGGCTGTGCATAGCCTTTAGGAGGCTTTCAGAGTGCTCCTGGGGGCTGGGGAGAGCAGAAATGAGCCAAAAACGGCCCGTTTTTTGCCCCCTCCCAGCCCCCAGGAGCACTCTGAAAGCCTCCTAAAGCCTATGCATGCCCTGTTTTTTTTTTAACTAAAAAAAAGGCCTGGTTTTTGCTCGTTTTTGGCCCCACCCCCAGGTCCCAGAAGCACTCTACAAGCCTCCTAAAGGCTATTCCCACTCTTTAAATAAATTAAGAAACGGGCCTGTTTTTGCGAAAAACGATCCGTTTTTGGGAGGTTTGCAGAGTGCAAAAACTTTTTTTTTTTAAATTTGCCTCTTCGAAACCATGTTGCGTCTTATACTCCGAAAAAATACGGTAAATTATTGTAAGTTCTAATCACTACACGGAAACGTTTATGCCAGAAATGTCGCACTATGTCCAATGTTTTTAATGTTTTAACTAATAGAAAACTTTATTTAAAAAAACAAAAAGATACAAGATGGACCTGGGAAAATCCCTTCGCTTGGGTGAAACCAGCCTTGTCCTTGGCTTCCCCTTTTTTGGCAGGTGCTGGAGATGTTCATCCTCGTGCTGCAACAGTGTCACCGAGAGAACGAGGAGAAGTGGAAGAGGCTCTCGCGACAGGTAGCCGACATCATCCTGCCAATGCTGGCCAAACAACAGGTGAGGACGTATCTACGGTCACAAACAGCCATCGGCGAAGACCTTTCCCTGTTTCTGTTCGGAGGAAAACTCTTTTTCCGTTCTCCAGGCGCCTGATGGATTATTGCCCCCCCCCCCCATCTCCTGCACCTAACCAGGCAGCGTGGGGCGAAGCTGCCGTGGCACTTCGTAGCAGGGAAGGAGACCCTTCAGTTTTGGGGTTTCCTCCTGCCACATGCTTCACACTGTACCCAGACGAACCAATTTTTCTAATCCTAACAGCCCCAAACGCATAATTACCTGTTCTGACCCCCCTCGTCCCACACCAAAACACTCCAAGCCAAAGATACTTTACCAAATTTATTCACAGACAGACAGGTCCTTGGCAGCAAACTGGCACAGATAAGCCCTGGCAGCAATCCAGCACAGATAAGCCCTGGCACTAATCCAGCCTGCCAAGCTCACAATACTGTTCATCAAACATTAGTTAATGCGTTGACTTCTGCAAAAAGGGCGTGTGCACAAGCAGTCTTTTTTATAGTCTGGAGAGGAGCCTAATGACCAGCGGTTGTAAGTGTGCAAAACAGTCACTAAGCGAACTGATGCACATCAAGGCCCCCCCCTGTATGTTTTAGGAAAGTCGTCAAACGGGGGCAGTTAAAAAATGCTTCACTTAACGGCGTACATCTTGGGCTCGTCTGTGATCGTAACTCGGGGACCGCCCGTACGGCGAAACAATTCCTTTTTTCTACCTCTCCTTCGTTCCGCGGTTGTTGATTGCAGCCGTTGTTGATCCTGTTCTGTTTGTTGCTTCGTTTCCACCCCTCCCCCCAGATGCAGATAGATTCCCACGAAGCCCTGGGGATCCTGAACACTCTCTTTGAGATCCTGGCGCCTTCCGCCCTGCGCCCGGTGGACATGCTGCTGAGGAGCATGTTCGTGACGCCCAGTACCATGGTAAGGAGCATGGGCATCCGGCCAAGAAGCCGCTGAGTGAGAGGGAAGGAGGTGTTGCTACCCTTGGTCCAGGCTCAGGATGTTCTCAATTGCCCTCTTTCCTTTCCTGGGGTTACGGATTTGGGTCCCTTCCCCACAGCCCTGGGAGTTTAGCAATAGCAATAGCAGTTAGACTTATATACCGCTTCATAGGGCTTTCAGCCCTCTCTAAGCGGTTTACAGAGTCAGCATATCGCCCCCAACAATCCGGGTTCTCATTTCACCCACCTCGGAAGGATGGAAGGCTGAGTCAACCCTGAGCCGGTGAGATTTGAACAGCCGAACTGCAGAACTGCAGTCAGCTGAAGTAGCCTGCAGTGCTGCATTTAACCACTGCGCCACCTCGGCTTTGCAAGGGTGTTGTGAGGAGGACAGGAAGCGGCAGGGAGGAGCAGCCAGCCTGGCATCTTCAGCTCCTACCGAAAAGCGGGTTATCAATCCAATCAGCCGAAAGCTGGCCATAGGCTTAGCGGCAAAGGCTGTATCTGGAGGGCATCTGGGCCGCGAGCCCCCTTTGCTTCGCAGGCAGGCAGTGGGGAAGACAATGGTTATGTGTTTGTGTTGTCACTCACCCAAGTGCAGAGAAACTGTGTTCCTTTTGGCAAATGAACAAGTGGGAAGGGAAGAGAAGGGGAGGGCAGAAAGGGAAGGGGAAGGAACATAAGGGGAGAGGAGGAGTAGGAAAAGGGAGAGTAGGAAGAGAAGAGGAGGGGAGGGTAGAAAGGGAAGGGGAAGGAACATAAGGGGAGAGGAGGAGTAGGAAAAGGGAGAGTAGGAAGGGAAGAGAAGGGGAGGGCAGAAAGGGAAGGGGAAGGAACATAAGGGGAGAGGAGGGGTAGGAAAAGGGAGAGTAGGAAGAGGAGGGGAGGGTAGAAAGGGAAGGGGGAAGGAAGAGGAGGGAGGGAACGGGAAGGAGAGAGTAGAAAGGGAAAGAAAGAGAAGTGGAAGGAAGAGAATGGAAGAGAGGAAGGGGAAGGGAAGGGGAGGGGTGGGTAGAAAGGGAGAGGAAAAGGAAGGAAAGGGGAAAGGAGAGGGAGGGGAGAAGGGAGAACGGGAGGGGAGGGAGGAAGGGCTAATTTAAATAAGGAATATTTTGTGCGCTTCATCCCCCCTCTCTCTCCCTTTTCAATAGGCTTCCGTGAGCACCGTTCAGTTGTGGGTCTCTGGCATTCTGGCGATTCTGCGGGTCTTGATCTCCCAGTCCACCGAAGACATCGTCCTCTCTCGCATTCAGGAGCTCTCCTTCTCCCCCTACCTGATCTCGTGCGAAACCATTCAACGGCTGCGAAACGGGGAAAACAAAGCCCCTCCCGCTCAGGAAATCACCACGGATGAGCAAGATCGGTTTCTGCCCGAAGAGACATTTTCCAGGTATCGGTTGTTAATAAAATAAAAATGCTGCTATTATTATTATTATTATTTTTAAAGAACCATTAAAAAACAGAGATAAAAGGAAATTGAGGAAAATATATACAGGTAGCGCTCGACCTACGACCACTGGCGAGGCCAAAATTCCTGTGGCTAAGCGAGATGTTTTTAAAGTCAATTTTGCCCCGTTTTACGACTTTTCTTGCCACCGTTGTTAAGGGAATATTTGCCGTTGTTCAGTCACACGGTCGTGAAGTGAATCCGGTTTCCGCGTTTTACTTTGCTCGTCAGAAGGTCGCAAAAGGGGATCGCCCGACTTCCCCCAGGACACTGTGACCGTTGTAAACACGAGTCCGTTGCCATCCGTCCGAATTTGGATCACCTGATCATGGGAAAGACATGCAAAGGCACTAAACAGGGATGGGATTGAAAAATTTCAGCAACTGGTTCCTGGGCGGGCGTGGCCTACTCAGCCTCCTGCACCATGGCCGGGGGGACGATGACGTTTTCGCCCTCCAGAGGCTTTTCTTGAACCTTCATGAGGGCGAAAACAGCCTCCCCAGTTTCCGGAGGCCCGAAATAGGCCCGTTTCCAGATTTCTGGGAGGCCCTTCCTCCACACGGGCCCTACCCTTACCTGGCAGGATTAATGGGCTGTGTAGAGACTCCTGGGAGGGGCAGGGCCAGCCAGTCCTTCCAAATACCAGATACAAAAATAACATACAGTTTGCCCAAACCTGTCCGAACCGGCTGAATCTCACCGCTGGCCCTCAGTGTGAGAAACGGCCCTCAGTCCCTTGTTTTCCCCAGTGCTTCGTCACTTCGAACAGTCACTAAGCGAACCTTCGTAAGCCGAGGACTAGCCCTGCGGTTACATCAATTCTTCTTGGCCTTGAGGAATTGGCTTGGCTGGCTGTTGCATATCAAGTTTTTCTTTTCTCCTTTTTTTTGCAAAGTTTTAATCTTGCTTTTTTTTTCCTGGGCTTCGTACCCGGCCTCTCTAAATCTCTCATTTCCCTCTAGATTCCTAATCCAGTTGGTGGGGATCCTCCTGGAAGATATCGCCAGCAAGCAATTGAACGTGGAGATGAGCGAACAGCAGCACACCTTCTACTGCCAGGAACTGGGCACCCTTCTCATGTGCTTAATTCATACCTTCAAATCAGGTACGACTCCTCTTCTTGCCCCTTGTGTTGTGGCCTTCCAGCGGCCAGCACAGGCTGGCCAGATTCGGACAGTGAGGAGGGTTGGGTAGGAACCTGGGCCAGTCCTGGAGCCTGGGGAAGGCTGTGACCAAAATTCGGACCCCACTTATATTTGTGACAGCTGCAGTGTGCTTTGGAGGTCACGTGATCCCATTTTGCGACCTCCTGACAAGCCACGTCCCCAGGGAAGCCGGATCCACTTAATAACCGTGTCGCTAACTGAACCTTAGCAGTGATTCACTTAACAACTGTGGCAAGAAAGGTGGCGAAATGAAGCAAAACTCCCTTAACAGCTGTCTCTGCAAGCGAGAGAAATTTGGGACTCGATTTTTGCGGTTGTAATTTGAGGACTGCCTGTATGTAATATTTCAGTGGAAACCCCGAGCTATCAATTGGGACTTATTGATAACTAGCCGGTAATCCTGGCGTTGCCCAGGTATTTATTTATAGGGGGAAATGCACGGACCAAACGTAATTTCTAATGTTGGATTTTCCCCCTTACCAGAGGGAGCCCCTTTGTGGAGTACTGTGAAGCCGTTACCATTGCAGCTCCACTGCGCTGTACAGTAGAATCAATTTTACAGCCGTACAGTAGAAGCCATTTTAAGGCACAACAGGCTGTATTTTAACGGAACACACACCCAGAAGGGTGTTAGGGGTATCTTACCCCCACAGTATTTCTTTCCAGAGTGTAAGTCATCTGTGTACCAAGTTTGGTTGAAATTTCTCGAGGTGTTCCAGAGTTATGCTGGAACATACGTACATACGCACACACAGAGACAGCCATTTTTATATATATAAATGATGATGATGATGAGGTTTTTCCATTGTTTCGGTGTTCCAGGGATGTTCAGAAGAATCACAGCTGCGGCTACCAAGCTTTTTACCGAGAGTGGACCGCACGGTCTTCATTTCTACACTCTCGAAAGATTAAACGATCTCGTCAAGTCCATGATAGCCACCCACCCCTCCCTGGTCCTCCTCTGGTGTCAAATCCTGCTGCTGGTTAACTACACCAATTCCACCTGGTGGTCCGAAGTTCATCAGACCCCCAAGTAAGTCTGTTTTTTAAGCTCATCAGGTCTTTCTCTTTTTGGGCACACTGAGAATATATCTGCCGAACAAAACTCCGCAATGGCGACAGGGAAGAGCATCTGGCCAGTAAACACTCTGATAGCTCCCATTCAGTTGCCCAGACTCCACCCCCCCTGCAAGGGATTATGGGGTCATTAAAAGGAGATGATGATGATGATTGCCGGGGCGGATATATGTATGTATATTTTAATTCAATTTATTTAATTAAAATCCCATGCCGCCCATCTTCATTGATACAGCGGCTCTTGTTAGTTGTAAAGTGAATCTGGCTTCCCCATTGACTTTGCTTGTCAGACGGTCGCAAAAAGGGATCACGTGACCTTGAGACACTTCGACTGTCAGGGTTCCAAATAGCATCCAAAATTATATCAGAGTCTGAGGCAAAGGATTCCTCAAAGTTCCAATTGATGAAGAGAGCCATGTTGGCACATCCGGGAAACTCTGAATCTGAAGGCTTCCCGGCTTTCCCCACCTAGTTGAAAGTTCAAGATCTTTCCCCCACACCCACAAGGCCATCCCATGGTCCAATCTCCCCCTGCCATGCTGACAGCTTCCACCCATCCAGTTCCAG